TACATAATGCTCTAACTAATAAAGGTATGTTTTTACTGAGGCAAGTGGTGGTAAAAAATGGCACGGCCTAGGTGACTGTATGGTGAGGAGGCAGGAAGATGTGAGCAATCTGAGAGAACAGTGAAATTAAGGTCTCTCCACCCAGTTTTGACAGTTATAACCTATGCAGAAGAATGGATGAAATTGCCTTTGCCTTTTAAAGTTATTAGTATCATTAATCAAAATGTGTACATTACTGATCACTTACTGTGTTCATTAAGCTTTGGGGCCAAAGGAGTCACGATAAGAGAACCGTGGTCATTGCTCTAAAAATCTTGCTGCTCAAGTATTGAGATGCTGTGTCTGAAGAGTAACTTTCCGTTGTCCTTGTTGTTTCTGTGTCCAGGTGACTGTGGTCCTCCGCCCATTTTGCCGTTTGCTTCTCCAGCCATGCAGTCTTATGAGACAAACTTCAGAACTGGAACTGCTCTGAGATACAACTGCCACCATGGCTACTGGAGAGTGAATACAAGTCATGTTATCTGTGATATTAGTGGCTCATGGATCTACAATGTCTTTTGTGCCAGTAATTGTCAACATTTATTCTTCTCGGTTGCGCTTTACTTTCCTCAGAAAATTGTCATAGGGACTTAGTAAATTCCTTAATTCATATGAAAATCTTTGAGCAAATAGTCTTAAAAATTCATATTTAGAAAGTTCTAATATTTAGAAAGTCAATTGGGAGTACACCATGGAATATTTCTCCAACACAAAGGAGAGAGAGTTTATTTCCCTTTTTTGGGTCTATTTTTGTGACTAAAGATGTATATCTTTGAGGACATAAACTTACATGCATAACTGGTCAATATACCACATCCTGTGTCATCACAGTGGTTTAATTAAACAGATGAAGTTTTCATCCTTTAAAAGCATGTCAGAAAATGGGTTATACTTTTTATTTTTCCTCATGCTAAAAATTGAGTAAGTCAGAATCAGAAATATGCATTGAAAAATATCTCAGGATCTATCTGCCAGGTGATTAACCAGACTATTTTTCTAATGTTATATCTTGGGAGTATTGGTAGCCACTAATCATGTGTTCAATTTTCCTTCAGAGAAGCGATGCAGAAACCCAGGAGAGTTAGCCAACGGGAAAGTAGAAATTATAACTGATCTGCTCTTTGGTTCCACCATAGAATTCAGCTGCTCAAAGGGGTGAGTATAAGGAAAACTAGAAGATCATTTTTGTAGTTGATTTTTATATGGAGTTAATACATTTGTATGTTTCAAGAACAAAGTTGTATCCAGCCATGGTAGCTCTCATGTGCCTTTAATCCTAGCAGCCTGGGAGGATTGCAAGTATGTTTAGTCTGGGCAATTTAGCAATTTAGAGAAATGATGCCTCAAAATAAAAAAAAAATAAAAATAAAAAAGGGAAGGGGATGCAGGTTAAGGCAAAGCCCTGGGTTCAATCCCTGGTATTGGGGGAAAAAAGCAGTGAAAACCATGTATTAATGTACACATCAAGAATTCTTGTTTCCTCTCAGTTGCATTTATTCTTCTCTGCCTTCTCACAGAAAGTGACTTTAGATAGTTTCTGATTTATCCTCTTGGTGAGACTGAAGTCAACACAAGTGAGCCCAAATATCTGTATCAATATTTATCCTTCTCTTTTACATAGAAGATATCTGACAGCATGTATTGTTTTGAATTTTACTTTTACATTTTTGTTCTCTTGACTAAATTGCTATGACTGAATGTTGTTCATGTTCCCCGAACCTATATTTTAATTTGCAGTGTGATTGTATTTGGAGGTAGGAGTCTTTAGGGGGCCACTAGTCATAAGGATGGGGCCCTTTTGAAGGATCTCCTAACTTTTAAAGAAGATATCTGAGAGAGTTCCTTTCTGTGCATATGAGGCTATTGCAGGAGATAAGCATCTGAAAACCAAAAAGAAATTCTGTGCAAGAACCCAACAATCTGGCACCCTTTTCACAAACTTTACAGCTCTTTGAACTATGAGGGTGAAATTTTTACTGTTTAACCCATGCAGTCTATCACATTTTGTTATAGCAGCTGGAACTAACAAAATACATACTGGAGATTTTGATCTTCATGTACCAAGTGTTCATTTATTCTGCATGTGGTCATAAGTATTGTGCTAGTTTTCCATTGCTGTGAGAAAATACCTGACGTCAAAAATTTAAAAAGAGGAATGACTTGTTTTGGCTTGTGTATACAGAGGTTTCAGTCCAGGGTTGCTTAGTCTCATTGCTTTGGGTCCTTGGTGAGACAGAATATCATGGGAGGGAAGCAAATATGCTCACTTCCTGGCAGCTGGGAAGCAGAGAATGTGAAAGGAAGGGTTGGGAAATCTCACTATGCCCTTCACAAGGAAACCCCCAGAAGGAAAGAAATCATAAAAATCAGATCTGAATTTAATGAAATGGAGACTAAAAGTATAATACAAAGAATCAATGAAAGAATTGGCAATTTGAAAAGATAAACAGGACTAATAAACCTTACCAAACTAACCAAAAGAAAGAGAAGACCCAAATTAATATAGACACCAATATAAGATGAACTCAAAACTACTTTATCTCTCACCCTGAATAAAAGGCAATATTTTCTGTTGTACCATTGAAATTCAGAAGATTATTAGTAACTACTTTGAAAACTTATATTCTAATAAATTAAAAAAATCTAAAAAAGTTGATAAATTTCTAAACACATAGGACCTCCCAAACTTGACCAAGTGTACATAAAATCCTTGAACAGATCAATAACAAGCAATAATACTGAGATAGAAATGAAGTATCTCCAAACAAAGAAAACCCAGGACTTAATGGATTTACCACAGAATTTTACCAGATTTTTAAAAAAGAACTAATGCCAGTTCTCCTCAAACTATTCTCTGACATAGAAAGGGAAGGAGCACTTCCAAATTCATTCTGCAAAGCCAAAATACCTCTGATATAAACAAAAACAGAAAACAATAGACCAATATCCTTGATGAACATAGGTAAGTATTCTCAAAATTCTTGGAAACAGAATCAAATAACATATACAGCATGATCAAGTTGGTTTCAACTCAGCAATGCAAGGATAGCTCAATGTACTTAAATCAATAAATGTATACAACACATAGAATCAAAGATAAAAACATAGATTTTCTCCATAGATGCAGAAAAAATGGTGGATAAAATTTAACATTACTTCATTATAAAAACCCTAAGAAACTAGATATAGAAGAATCTTTCCTCAATATAATTAAGGCTATCTTGATGAGCCCATAAGCAACATCTTACAGAATGTGAAAAAATCAAAGGTACTTCCTCTAAAATCAGTAATGAAACAAGGATGTCGACTTCATCATTTCTGTACTTGAAATTTCAGCCAGACCAACAGAAAAAAATAAAAGCGATACAAATAGGAAAGGGAGAAGTTAAATTATCCCCATTTGAATATGAGCCTCTACTTAGAAGATGCTAAAACTGCACCAGACTTTTGGACCTGATTTAAATTCATCAAAGTGATAGGATGCAAAATCAAATAGGTAGGATGAAAATCAATAGCTTTTATATATACCAATAATGAACCTACTGAGAAAGAAATCAAGAAAATAATCCCAATCACAATAAGTAAGAGAATGCACTACTTATGAATAAACATGACCAAGGAGGTGAAAGACCTCTCCAACAAAAATTAAGAAGACCAAAGAAAGAAACTGAAGAAGACATTCAAAGATGGAGGATTCCCTATTTCAAAATATACTACAAAGTTGAAGTAACAAAAAATATGTAGTACTGGTACAAAAATAGAATGTAGACTAATAGAACAGAAGGCATAGAAAGAAATCTATTCAATTGCAGCCATCTGATTCTGGACAAAGGAGCAAAAAATATATGTTGGGAAAAAGTATTTATTATATGGTGATGGAAAAACTGAATATCCATATATAGAAAATTGAAATTAGATCTTTATCTCTCACCCTGAATAAAAATCAGTTCAAAATGGATCAAAAACCTAAATATAACACCTGAAACTTTGAAACTCCTAAAAGAAAATGTAGGGGGAAAATTGAACTAATAGGCCCATGCAAAGATTCCTGAATGGGACTCCAGTAGCACAGGAAATAATAGCAAGAATAAACATGTGGGAGTACACCAAATTTTAAAATTTTCTCCTCAGAAAACAAAACAAGTAACACAATGAAGAGACAACCAAAGAATGGGAAAAGATCTTTGCTAACTACTATTCCATCAGAGAACTAATATCTAGAATATAAGATGAACTCAAAACTACTTTGAAGATAACAATGCAATATGTGAACCATTGTTAATTTCCTATTATCTTGTTTTGCAATTCTGTATCATTGCTTTTTCTCTTTAAAATAAAAAATTAACACCAAACCCCCCAAACAGCCCAATCATTAAATGGGCAGATGAATTGAACACTTTTCTTTAAATAAGTATAAATGTCCAACAAATATAGGAGAAAAATTGTTGAGTGTCTTTCGCCATCAGGGAAATGCAAGCCAAAACTGCACTGAGTTCCATGTTGCCCCAGTCAAAACAGCCATCACGAAGGATACCAAACCCAATACATGCTGATAAGGTTGCCGGGAAAAAATTACTCTTCTACACTGTTGGTGGAAAATTAGTACATATATAGTGGAAATTAGGAGAATATTGGGTTCTTTTAAAAAACCTCTAAAAATAGAGCTACAGTTTGATTCAACTATACCACTCTTTGGTATATTCTCAACAGGATTAAAGTCAGCACAGTGTAGAGATACATGAATACTCTTTTTTTTGCAGCATGATTCTCAACAGATGAATAGGTAAAGAAAATATGGAATATACACACAATGTATATTATTCAGCAGTAAAGGAAAGTGAAATCATATAATTTTCAGGAACATAGGAGGAGCTGCAAGTGAAAGCAGCTGGGTTCAGAGCATTAACTTTCACATGTTCTGTCCTGTGTAAGGAAAAAGGGGGAAAAGAAGAAGAGAGTCTACTAGGGAACCTGCAGGAGATCGGGAGGAGAGGGAAGGAGGAGGAAAGAATGGGGCATGATTAAAGTATCTGTGTGCATGGACAAATATGCCAAAACGAAACCCACTAGTGTGTGTAGCTAACACATATGAATGAATGGATGAATAAAATTTGTTGAAAATGTCATGAGCATTTGTTGTTTATTATGACATGAATTCCATTGAGATGTTTGGCCTGCCCTTTCAGATATACCCTAATTGGCTCAACAACTAGTCAGTGTGAGAGCCAAGGTAAAGCGGTTCACTGGAGTGATCCTCTTCCAGAGTGTGTAAGTAAGTAAAATCCTTTTTGTCATAATCGTACACCTAAACTATATTGGATATAACACTTCTGTGTATCTCCACTGCCTCATGGATCCTCCTTATGAGTTTGCAGGAATTTTAGATCTGCAACGATTCCCTCTTTGATGATTTCTTTCTGTTCACTCCTTCATTTCAGTTGTCAAGTGTGAGTCCCCGCCAGACATAAGCAATGGAAAACACAGTGGTAGAGATGAAGACCTCTACACATATGGCTCTTCAGTCACCTACATCTGTGACCCCAACTACTCACTCTTAGGCAATGCCTCCATTTCCTGTATTGTGGTGAATAAAACAATAGGTGTCTGGAGCCCACGCCCTCCGACTTGTGAAAGTAAGTGATAATGATGCATTTAAAGTGTACTCCTTTGTTTAAGAGTAAAAGGTAGATATACTTACTGGCATAAACGGAACGAAGACAAGACAAATTCAGCATTGCAACAAGAAGTAATTTATTTGTTCAATTAATCTTATATGCTGTATTAATTAGGATAGCAAATTATGCTGTGATAATCTACAGAAAAATCTTCTGTGGTTTTTGTAGCAAAAGGATTTTCAAACTCCTTTCTAGTGCACTGCTAGTGTTGGTATCTCCCCAGGGTGTTTTAATCAGTGTTAACCAGCACTGTTTAGATCTTCTGATGCTTCTATGTCAAAACTTCCACAATCAGTCCAGCAGGGGAAGAGAGCAAGGAGGGTCAGTCCTTGACTGGCTCTTAAACTCTTTGACATGGAAGTGATCCATGTCATTGTCATTAGTGACATTTGAGTCTTGTCAGTTCCTGGATTCAAGGTTTAGACATACCAGATTTTATTTAAGACAAAGTTAGAGGACTTCATCTCTAATGACCAATAGATTGGGCCCTCAGCTTCCAGAGCTTCCCCAAGGAATGAAAGAACATATCAAACTCTATCTAAAATGTTTCTTTTGTACCTACTTGGGGTAAACTTGTATCATGTCTTCCTTGGGGTCGTACCAACATTTGAGGTTGCATATTTATTGTCATTTCTCTTTATACTCAGATATCTTTTTCTATGCTTCTTTAGAAATCATCTGTCGTCAACCACATATTCCTAAGGGAATATTTCACTCTGGATTTGGACTCTTCTACACTTATAAAGACACTCTTGTGATTAGCTGCAACAAAGGTTACATCCTCAGGGGCAGCAGTATAATCCACTGTGAAGCTAATGGCAAGTGGTATCCTTCTGTTCCCACCTGTGAGCCCAGTAAGTATGAACTGTAAGTGAGCTGCTGTAGTCTCACCTGTAGTGACATTTAAAATATGGCAGTGGCATGCCATGGGCTCAGGCCCACTTTAATCCCAATAACCATGTACATTAAATGTACACTTCCCCCCAGTTTCTTGTTAGAAATAAGACTGTTAGTGAACTTTTAGCATTATTTGAAAGATTTTGTACATATCATATACTTGTCACACCAGTGACTTTGCTGATATAGTAGATAATATATTTGTTACAAAAGTTTTCACATAGGTGGTGATAAAGTTCCTCATCCTAACAAAATTCACAAACTATGAACTTCTATTGGAAGATGAAAGTAACATTCCTCGTAGAGAGCTCCTTTTTATAATTTGCAGAGGTGCTCTGTGAGCCAAACTTAACATTGTAAATATGCACAGATCACTCCTAACCTCAATTGCTAAAATTTTATTTAAACCTCCCTACACCCTGAACACTGTTTTAAGAGTTTTATATTAAATAAATCATTTAATACTTATATTACATCTAACAGGTAGCTACTCTCTTTATCGCATTTCAGGGATGAGAACACAGAGACATTAAGCAACTATTACAAGTTCACAGAGCTAATCAGTGGGGAAGCCACCATATATTGTGGTTTATCTATTCCCTTCTGTCTTGACAAAAATTTAGGTATTACTTAAATGTGTAATGATAAAGTTTAATACACAAGTAACTTGATAGGCGTGTGTTCCCACTTTAATCATGAACCATTGATATATGATTGAGTAGACACAAATGCAAGGCCAAAGGTTAATATGCAAATGTGACGAGGGACTTTGCTTGAGGCCAATTCTGCAGTTCTAGGTGGTGACAGTTCCATAATGTCGAGGGGAATGTCTCTTATTTTAATTCCCCACTTGGCAAAGAGATCTGAAAGTTAACATGATCCTGGAGCAGTTGGTCCTAATGCCTCCCCTAAAGGTGGGCCATGCTACATGCAGGGAGGTAGAAGCAGAACTACAGTGCCACATTGGATTAACACTTGAAACTCTGCTGCCTACAGCATGCCCTGTCCCTCATGACAGCCTCCCCAGAGCTGCAGGTGCTTAGTGCTCCACAGTAGTCTATAGGCCGATGAGGGTGCAGAGTCTTCTTGGTATTCCCAGTTGGTCTCTGTCATCTGGTTTCTTGCTGAATGAATATAATGTCCTTTTCTGTACCAGTGTCATGGTTGTTCCGGCAGTTCCAGTAACAGTTTTCTTTCCCCTCCCTGATCTCCTTATGTTCAGATGGCTGTGTTGACTTACCAGATATCCCATATATTTCCTGGGAGAGAAATATACTTAGCCTAAGAAATCAAGAAATATTTGAGATTGGAACACAGGTGAAATATCAGTGCAAGGCTGGTTATCGATCACTGCCAGATGTGCGTCGGATTGTCACTTGTCAGGACAGTTTAAAGTGGACAGTTTCCAAAGGGTGTGAAAGTAAGAGAACTTGAACTGTTTTTGTATAGCGGTGGGGGGGGCGCATATGTGTTTGTGTCTATCTTTTCTTCTATTGAAAGTGTTGAGCACAATCGTTGAAATTTTCTGGGACTTGCTTCTTGGAGCACTGTATAGAAATTTTGGGAAAGGCCCAGTGTGTGCTACAAAATATGCATATTTTGAAATTGTTGGTTTCAATATTTCATGTATATCAATTAGATGCAATTTGTTTCAGTGATGTTTCAATCTATATCTTTATTTATATTGACTATTTGCACTTATAATAGCTATAGAGAATGACATTTCATTATGAATTAGTTTGTTACCTTTTAAAGCTTATTTTAAACTGTTTTTTCCTTTTCCTATTTTGACATATTTTTAGATGCATACAAGTTTAGAAATGTATATTTCACTTGTGAATTTAATCTTTAACTACTATGAAATGACTATCACTGTAATTGTTTTATCTTTAAATTCTACTTTTATGTTATTATAGATTATAGTCTTATTGAGCTTGTGTTAGCACAGTTCATTGTTTTCAGTCTCTTAATTTTTAACTTAATGTAATTTTATATTTGAAGTGTAGCTTGTAAGAGCAAATAGATATTCTAACATTTTCATGATTTTCTGTTTTATTTTATTTTAAAGAGAAAAAATAAAAACAGTGATACAGAATTTCAAAACACAATAATAGGAGATTAACAATGGTTAGTATATTGTCATGATTTCTTTAGAGCACTATTAAGAACTGTGAAGTTAATATAATGGTTAGTATATTTGAATTTATATCTATCTTACTGTTTACTATATTTTCTCCCTCTTTATCTTGTTATTCATTTTCTTGTTCAATTTTTAATTTTTCTGTCTTCACCTGGTATTTGCTTGTATTTTGTACACTTTTTACTTTTTTGATACTCTTTACTCTGACATACCTTTGCCTCTTCCAGAGAATATAAATCTTTGGATATCTTTAACTTGGTTTATTTCTATCTTATTTATATGCTTTTTTTTACATTTCAATTTTATATGACTTAAATTCCATTTTACTATTATTATTAGTATTGTTGTTATTATTGTTTGTAAGGAATAGAATTCATTCAGCTGTGCCCATGTAATTACTGTTTTACTCTGTTTAATTCTGTTTTGCCTCCTTGGTCTCATCTCTGTTGCCAGTTCCCTCTGCCTGATAGGCATTCTAGTCTCCCCTAACAAGCCTCTGCCGATGACCAGTGTCTTCTTTTATTCTAATCATCATGCCTTTATTTCACTTTCTTATTAGGAAATATGTTGGGTGGATATACACGTCTAGCTAGGCCGCTGCTTTCTTTGACCATGAGAAAGATTTCACCTCATTGTGTCCTGCCTTTGATTGCTTCTGCCCAGTGCTGCTGCTGTTCATGCTGATCATTGGAGGGTTCTGTTCTTCCTGACTGCTTTCAAGACATTCTCCTTGTTTTCAAATTTTCACAGATATGTCCAGCTTACTTTTATGTTTTTTGTCCTTAAGATCCATAAAACTTCTAGAATCTAAAGTTCAGTGTCTTTCATTTATTTTGAAACTTTTTTTAACTTGGAGTACTTTAATATTTCAAGTAAACACTCTCTTTGAATATTCTTTTGGGTCTCCTGCCTCTCTGTGTCCTTCAGGTTCTTCAGTTATGTCTAGGTTATGCCCTTATTCTGGGTCTGCCCTTATTCTACACCCAGTGCTTTTGTCTGTGTTTAACCTTTTGTTTCCTTGTGATTTACTATGAATATAAATTGCAGTATTTACTTCTTCATACACATATACTCTGATATTAATTACTAGTTCACTTGCTAATTTTACTTATAGTTTTCAGTTTTAAGATTCCCATTGCACTGATTTTTTTCTACCTGAATTTTCAGTGTTGTCTTTTATTTCCCTGTACATAATAAAGCAAAGTTGTCTTTAAATCTGTGTTAAGGACTTCATTTTCTGGGATCCTCCTTGCTTTTCTTGGCCTTTAATAACTTTGTTTAGCCTCTTGCTGAAGAGGCTCATGGTTAGAGGCATGAAGGGCTGTGAGGGTTAGTTAGCTAGTCAGGGTTTGGTATAGGGTGCAGCTCTGAAACTTATACATTCTTCTTAGAAAAAAAAATGGTTCTATTCTCCAGGCATATCTTAATGGATTTCTTTCTTTTTCATAAAAAGGACAACTAAGAGAATTAAAATCTTGGCTTCTTAATTCTTTGTGGATCTCCCATCTTGTTTTTCTACTTGTTGTCAAGGGAAAATGAGTGTAAACTATGTAGCCCAACATTGCACAATCAACATCTCATTTTAAAAACTTCTAATGAAGAAATGGTCAAAGGCAAATTAAGTAATAGGAAGTGAACCAAACAGGGGCAGAACTTGGAGGAGATGCTTGGTGTACTTTTTAACCTTGGTTTCTTTTCTTTTTAATATGTGAAATCATGCATACTTATGGGGTACTATGTGATGTTTAAATGCATACATACATGTGTAATGTTCAAACCAGGATGCATTGGTCAACTTCCTGTTGCTGATACAAAGTACGTGACACTTGCAACTTAAAGAAGAGGTTTAATGTGACTCATGGTTTCAGAGGGTTCAGTGTATGGCTGGCTGGCTCCAGGGAACCAACATCATGGCAGAAGAGCTTGGTGGAGCAAAGCTTTCACTTCATAGTGACAGGGGAGAGGACCATAGGAGCAGAGCACCGATGAGAAATATACTCGCCAAGGCACATCCTCAATGGCTCCCTCCTTACTGCACGTTCAGCTATGAACAACAACAGCTCAGTCCACTGCTGAGAATACACCTCTGTAATCCAATTGTATTGCCAGGAGTCTCTCAATTCAGTCAAACTGACAGTCTTAACTGTCACATAGGGTAACCATATATATATCTCCTCAAACATGTATCATTTCTTTGTGATAAAATCTTTCAAAATCCTTTCTTTTAGTATTTTTGAAATATACAGTACATTACTGTACTCTGTTAGTGTCTGTGTATAGTACACTCCAGAACTTTTCTCATCCAGTTGTAACTTAGTACCCATTGATCAGCCTTTACCCATCTCTCCCTTCTTCCTACTCTTATCTCTGGTGAGCAATACCCTGCCCTTAGCTTCTATGGGATCATTTTATACATTCCATATGTGGATAAGAGCATGTGATATTTGTCTTCCAGGGCCTGCTTATTCTTTTTAACATAGTGATGTCCACTTGCATCTGTGTTGCTGCAAATGGTAGGACTTCATCCCTTTTTATGGCTGTAGAGTATTCTACTGTGTACATGCATCATATATTCTTACCCATTCATTAGTTGATGGACACTAGATTATTTATTTCTTGGCTACTGTGAATAGAACTGCAGTAAACATGTCTCTTTGATATACTGCTTTCATTCATTTGCTGGCCATTTGCAAGTCTTTGGAGAAATGTCTATTTAGACCTATGGTAGTTTTTAACTGGAGTATAGATTTGTTTCTGCTGTTTTGTTATTTTTTGTTGGTATTGCTATCTTGTCAGATGTACAGTTAGCAAATATGCAGTATGAACCTCTTGCATCATATTTGAAATGACTTTCCCAACATGTCTTTAGTGCTTTTTGTCAAAAATCAATTGACTATATATATATGTGTATCAATTTATTGGTTATCTATTCTATCCTGTGAGTCTGTGTGTCAGTTTTTCATGCCAGTAGCATGTTTTCTATTATTGTGGCTTTATTTGATATTTTAAAGTGATACTGTAAGGGGCTGGGGATTTAGCTCAGCGGCAAAAGCGCCTGCCTGGCAAACGCAAGGTCGTGAGTTCGGTTCCTGGTACTGGAGAAAAACCAAAAAAAAAAAAAAAAAAGTGATACTGTAGAATTTCTCCTGCCTTATTTTTTTGCTTAAAATAAATAAATTTTTAAAAAGTTTTTAAAATAAAGAAATAAAAAATAACCAAAGAAGGTTATTCTGCTGTTTTTGTGATTCCAAACAATTTTAGGATTTTTTTTCTATTGAAGAATGTTATTAATACTTTGATAAGCATTCAATCTGAAGATCATTTGGATATCGTGGACAATTTAACCATACTGATTCTTCCAATCCATGAGTCCAGGATGCTTTTCACTTTCTTGTCCTCTTCAATTTCTTTTATCAATTTTTTATAGTTTTTCTTGGTTTAATTTATTCTAGAGGCTTTTTGTAGTTGTTACTGAAATTACTTTCATGATTTCTTTTTCAGATCATTTGGTATTGGCATACAGAAATGTTACTCATTTTTGTATGCTTTTCTTGTACCCTATGACATTATTGAATTTGTTTAGTGTTTCTCTTAGTTTGTTTGTTTTTTGTTTTTCTTCCAGTACCAGGAATCGAACTCACAACCTAGCACTTGCCAGGCAGGCGCTTTGCAGCTAAGCTAAATCCCCAGCCCCTATTTCTCTTAGTTTTGGTGGAGTCTTTAGAGTTTTCTGGAAATAAGATCATGTCATCTGCAAACTAACATTTTTACTTTCTCCTGATGAGTTTGCATGCCCTTTCTTCTTTCTTTCTTTCCTTCTTTCCTCCTTCCTTCTTTCCTTCCTTCCTTTCTCCCTTCCTTCCTTCCTTCCTTCCTTCCTTCCTTCCTTCCTTCCTTCTTCCTTCCTTGGACAAAGAGCCTCAGATTTCCCTACAGCCACAGTCTTGGTGTGTCTCATCTTCTGCACTGGTTCCTTGGAGACTCAATTCCTCTCTGACTGCCTAATAATTTCTATATAACTTAGCTGTCTGTGATAACACAAGAGGTACTCTGTACCTGTGGAGCACCTCCCCATTCCCTCTCTTTGCCTCAATCTTGCAACCACCACTCTATGCTCCTATAGTTTGATTACTGACATCTTTTGTAAGTAGAGTAAGGGCTTCAGCCATAGATGTGTTTCTTTGGTGATTTTCTTAAACCCAAGCATCACTTTTTATCCATTAGGGGTATGCTGCCCAACACCAAATATGGAGAAAATGAGAATCATAAATGAAAGGAGAGACTTTACGGGTGTATGTCTCTATGCCTATGAAGATTATATTTTCTACATGTGTGATGAAGGCTATTTTCCTGTTTCTGTTGATGGAAGGAGTTTATGCCAAGCAGATGGCACGTGGAACCCTAAAATTCCAGCGTGTGAGTCAGGTAAGAATATCAAGGGGACTTGTCATTATTTCCTAAATGAGCCCTTATAGTTCTGCAAAAGAATACACTTCTTAAATGAGGTGAGTTTAAGGTTGTTTTTCTAAGAAGCATAATACAAAGAAGGTCACAGATACACAGCACTTACACAATGCAGATGGCTACAGAGCAAGCTATGTTGGGGATGGGCCTTACAGGAGATTTCTTGTAAGAGAAAACAGTAAAGTTGATGAAGTTCTTCAAAAGTCTCATTTCTCATTTTTCCTGCAAGTATTGTCTGCAACCACTTGGGCAAATGTTTTAGAAAAGAGGAAAACAGTCCCACAAACTTCTGTATTTATATCAGTGGAGAAAGAATGGTTTAGGTAACTATAACAACATGGAAGCTGTCAGTATGAAGTATAGTGGCTTGGTTAGGAAGAGGGAGACTTGGAGCCAAGTGATGGATGTTAACCTCTCTTCTCCTTGCTCTGACTCCGACCTGCTGATCTACCTCTCTGTTAATATGAGAACCTCAAAGAAATAAACATTGAGTACATAAATACCTGACTGGGATCAGCATAAGATATTGAACTGAAAATGTCATCACTGTGGATCATTATGAATGGTTCTTTGCATCAGCATGAAAGATATTACTTAACACTGTAGTTTGCAATACTATAAAAGCAAAGTTAAGAAAGTGATCAAGGTGCCAGAAGTTAATTTTGGTGGCCATCCTAGGAGGTAGGAGTGAGACTTGAGAGAGATGGAAAGAGGGAAAGAAAGGGGTGACTCTTATAAACACCATGGACTCAATTCTTTGTGGCTACTGAGAAGTCTATGGGATGCCTTTTTAAATTACCTTTCTGAAACACAAGAGATTGGGACACTTTTGCTGATCTGTCCCCACTGATGTAAGGTTGTCCTGAAAGTAACTGAAGAAAACAGAAAGTAACTGTTAACTCCAACTGTTAACTGTTAACTCCAACTGTTAACTCCAACCCTGCTCTTTTCATTGTAGAGAAGGATCTGAAGCAATGAAGTGAGAGATTCCTAGTGAATGCTTTCTGTAAAGTGCAGTCAGTATAAATCTCAGCCTGTGTGAAAGTGTCTATTCCATCTGAAACTGTAATCAAAGGTGGTCCAATGGACTCCAGTGTGGGTACAAAAGCATCCACATATATCCTGTGTGCTACTTAGACCTGCTCATGCCCCCTATTAATTGCACTGAATTACCTCTCTCTCACTTTAAAGCAATGTCTGACTGTGATCTCTTGAAGATCACTATAAAGAGGGTTAGTGGAGTAGGTTACCTCTAATCTCTGGGATATAACTGATTTTAGTAATTTCCCTTCACTACCTATTCTAGATTTTTCTCCTTTCAGTTAGTGCCTAAGTAGGCTTAGACTTCCTATTAGAAGTGCTAACTTCTTTTATCTCTGATAAATGAGAGACTTCATAGTGTCTTGTAATGGCCCATTCAATGCTACTTTTGGGTATGGAAGCATCAAGTGCTCCAATCAATATCTTGGATTCTAGATTATTCTTTCCTACCTCAATTACATGCTAGATACCCTAGCTCTTCATTATGACCATAGTTTACTGCCCTACCAGTATAGTAACATTTCCTGTATCAAAGCTGTTGCAACCGCATAAGGAGCCCAGTACAGTCAGGTGAAAATCACAGCTGCAGGGGCAGTGGAAATCTTTCATGTCCACTATGGAAATTGTTTTCCCCTGATTCTGGGAAGCAAGACCTTATCCTACAAAAGTCTAAAGTTGCAAGTAAGAAGAGTATATTATACAAGGGAGTCACTAGGGTTGTGAGGAGCATCAACCATACTTCTATTCTTTGGTGTTGGGTTTCATGTGTTCTGTAAGTTGGGTGCACAGATGCATGGAGATTTTGGCCAATAAGTCAGTGTACTCATTTTGTCCTGAAAGCTGGGGTCCTCATTTGCTGGATGCCACTGCTGAATTGATGGGCTGGGCTGAATCTCTAGTACACTGTCCCAGTGATCGCTCATGTTTTCAGGTAATCTATTAAATGGTAAGATAACAGATCCTGTGGCCATATTCCCATCATCACATATTCTCAGCTACCAGCCTTAGGAACCTTAGACTTCTGCTCATCCGGTTACCCCACATGAAACATTTTCCAAATTTTTATGAATCCTTCTGTCCAAAAATTTATTTACTATCCTAGTCAATAAATTTTTTTATCAGTAAGTTATTTTTATTTCTACCAAAGAGTTACTTAATAACAACAGGAGTGGTCACAATACAGTAAAAGCAGCATTTATATAAGACAGCTTATTTTTTAGAGTATTTATTTAGTTAGTTGGTGCTACACATTGAACCCAGGGCATGCTAGGCAAGCACTTTACCACTGAGCTATGTCCCCAGGCCTAGGATAATAATTTTAAAAATCTGCAGTACTTCTTTTTAATTTAAATTAACTTTATTGGTACTCTTTTGATATACATAATGATCTCATTCATCATAGGGATTTGTACCTGTACATGATATATCCTGATTTTTTTCTTCCATTCCCTCCCTTTCTTTCAAACATTTTCCCCTCATTTACAAAAGCTTTACTTCCATTTTTCTCCTTCTATCCTCATTTTACCTTTTCTTTTACTTCTGTTTCACTTCCTCCTCTCATTCCCCTTCCCACTTGAACATTTTCTTCCTACTTCCCCATATCTACTAAACATTTTTGTCCTTATTTATATTTTCAGTTTTTTACACAAGAGAAAGTATGCAATATTTAAACATGTGTGTCTGATTTATTTCACTTAAAAGTATGGTCTCAAGTAGAAATGTCTCCAGTTTATCCTTTATGGCAGAGTAGCACTCCATTGTATATAAAAATTGCATTTTCTTTATTCATTCATCAATTGATGGAATTCTTGTGCTACTATGAGCAGAGGTGTGCATATATCAGTGGGGTATGATGCCTTTTAACTCTTTCAGGAGGAAACCAAGAAGGGGAATATCTGGGTCAAATGGAACTTCTAGTTTTGGCTTTTGAGGAATCTCCACACTGACTTCCATAATGGTTGTACCAATTTATACTCCCACCAACAGTGGAGAAGGATTCCTTTTTCCCTACAGCCCACCAGCATTTGTTATTGGTTGATTTCTTGATGATAGCTATTCTTTCTACAGTGAGATGGAATCTCAGTGTTGTTTTAATTTGTATCTCAGGAACGACCTGAACATTTTTTCATATATTTATTTGCCATTTCTACTTATTCATCTGAGAAGTGTCTATTCATTTTAGATATCCATTTTGGATTGGAAATTTAAATTTGGGGGTCTGATATTTTTTACTTCTTTATATATATTCTAGATATTAGTCTTTTGTATGAGGAACAGCCGTAAAAAAATTTTTCTTACCCTATGGGTTGTCTCTTCACTCTGTTAGTGCGTTCTTTTGCTGTGCAAAAACCTTTTAATAAAATGAGGTCAGTTCTTGATTCTTTGTAATACTTCCTGTGAGATCAGGGTTTTGTTCATAAAAGTCTTTTCCTACACCTATGTCTTCAAGAGTTCTACCTATTCTGTCTTCCAGCAAATTTAGTGTTTTTTAATATTTGGATCTTTGATTCATTTCAATTTTAGTTTAGGGCATGGTAAGAGATATGGATTCAGTTTTAATATTCAGCATGTGGAAGTCCAGTTTTTTCAGCACCATTTATTATAGAGGTTATAGTGTTTGCTTCAGCAGCATGTATATTAAAGAGGTTATCTTTCTTCCTGGGAAGGTATACAGCCCCTTTGTCAAGGATAAGGTAGCTTAGTGTGTTTGGAGTCATTCTGCATAGTATATTCTGTTCCATTGATCCTTGGTTCTGCTTTTGTGCCAGTACCATGCTGTTTTTATCATGATAGCTTGGTAGTATAATTTCAAACTAGAGATTGTGATGCTCCCTGACTTCTATTTGTTGTCCAGAATTGCTTTTGCTATTCTAGGTCCCTTCTGCTTCCAAATGAATGTTAGACAGTATGCTATTGATACTTTGATTGAGATTGCATTAAATCTGTATAACAGTTTTTAAAATGTGGCATGTCATAAAATGTGGCATGCCATTTTCACTATATTCATTCTTCCTACCCAAAAACAAGGGTTATCTTTCCATTCTCTGATATCCTCTTTGATCTCCCTTTTCAGAATACTATAATTTTCAATGTAAAGGTCTTTTACATCCTATATTGGATTGACTCAGAAGTATTTCTTTTTTTTTTGATGTTATTGTGAAAGGCGCTGTTTCCTGAATTTCTCACTCAGTGAGTTTGTTGTATCTGTACCGGATGGATATTGATTTTTTGCGTGTTGACTTTGTATCCAGCTATGCTACTGAATTTGTTTATTAAATCTAGAAGTCATTTGGTGGAGATTTTGGAGTCTTCTATGTAGAGTATCATGTTATCTGCAAATAATGTTAATTTAATTCTTTCTTTCCTATCCTTATTCCTTTTATTTTTTTCTCTTGTCTAATTGCTCTGCTAATTTCCAGAACTGTATTGAAAATGAGTGGTGAAAGTAGACATCCTTGTCTTGTTCCTGATTTTAGAGTGAAAGCTTTCCATTTTTGATCATTTAGTATGATGTTCGCTGTTGGTTTGTCATAGATGTCTTTTATCAGATTGAGGTAAAGACTATCTATTTCAATTTTCTGTAGGTACTTTTTATCACAAATGTGTGATGGACTTTGTCTAATGCTTTTTGTGTCTACTGAGATGACCTTATGTTTTTTGTCCTTGGCTTGGGATTATATGGTGCATTAAATTTATTGATTGGCATATGTTTGAACCATCCCTGCATCCCTGCGGTGAATTCTACTTGGGCATGGTATAGAGTCTCCTTGATGATTTGCTGCATTCTATTTCCCAGTAACATATTGAGAATTTTTGCATCTATATTCATTAAGGAGACTGGTCTGTGATTCTCATTTTTGGTTAGATCCTTTTCTGATTTTGGTATTAGGGTAATGCTTGTTTCCAGGAATGAGTTTAGGAGTATTGCTTCAGCTTCAATTTCATTAAAGAGTTTGAGGAGTAGTGGCATTAGATCTCTAAATTTCTTGTAGAATTTAGCAGTGATCTGTCAGGACCTAGGCTTTTCCTTGTTGGTAGGTTCTTAATTACATCTTCAATTTCATTGACTGATATTAGGTGATTATGAATTTTTATATCTACTTGATTCAGCTTTGGTAATTCTAGGAATCTCTCCATTTCTTCTCTGTGTTACATCTCATCAGAATATAGGTTCTTGTAGTAGATATTGATAACCTTCTGGATTTTTGCAAGTCCTTTTGCTGGCTACTTTAGCCTTCTTAATGTAAGATAAAAAGGTGAACTTCAGCACCATTTATGCTTCAGTGAAGATTAAGTTAAAAAATGTTGAGAGCAATGTTTCCCGTTGGTAAATGTTTCCTAAATTTTGACATTTTACTTATTTACTTGGGATATTTAAACCATGAATGGTAAACTTTAAAAATCCATTGACAAATGCATTAAAAATTAAATTTAATTCTACCCCAAAGTCCTAGAAGCATCCAGTAGTTCCCTTTCCTGGAACACTGATCACTACTACATTGTTGTGTATTTTCCAAGAAAGTCTAGAGAAAATGTCTTTTAGCTGATAATGTTCTTGTGCCTCTGGTAAAGTTTTCATGAAAGTCTTAAGTTCATTTCAACTGTTCAAAACTAGGAATCTCAAATATCAATTGCCAAGTCAGTAAGTGTTAGAAATATCCACCAAAACCACGGTGCTTACCATTTTTCTGTTACCTTTCCATTTTCACTTTTGATGACATGCTGATGCTCTGGGTTGGTATCCTCAAGGAGGAACAAGCCAAGAAAAGTTCTGATTCTTCATCATGTGTGATTCCTTCACCATCTAGCTAAGAAACATCAATGAAGAGTATAGACTTAGGATCACTCACAAATAAGGATGTAGGAGCAGCAGTTGGGAACACAGATTCTATCCCTGAAAGATGATATGGCACTAGGGAAAGGTTTAAATTTTGGTTACATTAACAAGGACTAAATGAGATAAGCCAGGTGAAAAACTTACCATACAGACACACATAGAGGAGTCACTCAGTAAATGTTAATTATGACTATTAGAATTATCATTAATGTGACAAAGGTCAGAACTTGCATGATCTAAGTATAAATATGAACAAAGCTTCCCATCATTGTCATTATCCAATGCTTTTTTGCTGTTTGTTTTGTTTATTATAAAAAATTTAAATGTTTCAAATATGTTTCCATCATAGCTGGGTGTTTGAGACCAGAGATACTGAATGGAAAGCTATCTGTGGAGAAGGATCGCTACACTGAAATGGAAAAGGTCACCATCCACTGTGACTCTGGCTATGAATTAGTTGGTCCCCAAAGTATCACTTGCTCAGAGAACAGAACCTGGTCCCCAGAAGTACCCAAATGTGAGCGGGTAAGTGGCACAATTTGGCGCGATTCTGTGTTGTCAACCCCTAAAAATGTGGTCTTCTTCAAAGCTCTGTCCCAGGCAACAATAACGATTTCTGACTTTTGTCACAATATATAAGTAATTTATCAAAATCATCACTTTCAACTGGGAAGCACAGCAGTGGGCCAGGAAAGGCAGTTGGGGTCTGTATTGCAAGACCCCAAATGAACTCCAGACTTGAAGGTCCCCGAGACCCACATCCCCTGACCACCTAGGTCTACATTTTGTTAGGTATTTGCTTCATTTCTGTTATTACATAGAGCCATCCTTCAGCTGACTTCATGCAGGTGCTCCAGGCCCCTGTGAAGCTCTATCTTCTCTGCTCAGGAGCAGAACTGTGTTGGCCTACAAGAGAACATCCTCCAGAAGGAGGTGTCTCTTCTGCCTCCTCTTCCTCTGTCTGTCCACACACCAGTCTCACTTTTGCAATGATTCCTCTGCAGATGCACCATACCCTCTGCTCACTGCTTTAAATCACCTTTAGGAAGTCCCTGAAGACTGCAAACAAGTGATTGCTGGCAGAAAGCTCTTGGAATGTCTTCCAAACCCAGCTGATGTGAAAATGGCCCTGGAGGTGTATAAGCTGTCTCTGGAGATTCAACAATTGGAAAAAGAGAAGTACATGCAGAACCAGGAGAAATTTCCTGAAAAACAAAAGAAGCAGTAACTTGTCTTTACATTAACATACACAATCCCCACTTACCATCTCCACTTGTCCTTAAGCACCATTACTCACGTTAGGAAGTTTCTGGGCTTGGAAAAAATTCATGTGATTATTGCTACCAAAAATGTGTAATTATTGATGTGGCAATTTGTGGCCCAAGAGTCTACTTGACTCATTGTGCTGGTTAAATAAAAGATCACTTATCAATCATCACTTGCTGTGTTGTCATCCTGGCCGGTATATCACATAAAAATGATACCTGTAGCACAAACCCACTGCTTAACATATCTGAAATTAACTTTCTTTTCCTTTTTAAAAATCTACTTAGGGAAGAATGGAAGTCAGAAAATTTAAACTGAGTTCATACCTTTATTTGTACCTGGATGCTTTTATTACATATCCAAAATCTGCTCACCCTCAGCCTCCAGGCACGGCCCCAGTGAAAACCAGAGTGAGAAAAAGAACATTGAAGCCACACAGGCCATTTGGTGACCCCGTCTGGTCACTAACTCCCTGCTGCAACCCTGTGATAAGTTCCATTCTCACTTTTTTTTTTAAATTTTAAAGAGAATAAAATTTTTAAAAAAATATTAGAAATGATACAGAATTTCAAAACAAGATGATAGGAAATCAACAATGGTGGTTATAGTGCATACTGCTGCCTTCAAAGTAGTTGTTCTGATTACCAGATGTAAGCATGCAAAATTGGTCAAAAAAATTAAGCATTAACTGTTCCTTTCCATAAACCAACAGAAACCAGGAGTACAATGATCTTAGTTAGCTATCACATATAAATTTTTCCCTTCCTTCTTTCTTTCTTTTCTCCTTTCCCTCATCTCAGTGTGAGCATTTTCTTTCCTTTTCACAATATTTATTGTACTTTTTGGATTTTGTTTACTCTTTCAGTTTCTTACTGGGTCTGCATGTTGTTCCTTTTCCAGAAATGGAATTGTACACTGTGATCCTTTCCTTTCTGTCTGCTTAACATTATATTTTTGAGTTTTATTGATGTTGTCCACCATCAAGTTTCATT